TGGATCTCAGAATGACAGTGGGTTCATGCCAGAGAATGAGACATTTGCAGAGACAACCAGGGCACCAAGAGAAAAAAATACGACAGCTAACTTTTTTTCTCCCTAACCCAGATTTCTCCATATTTCAGTCATTAGGGCCTCACAGTCCTTTCCAGTGTAGAGTGTTGACTTGGAAAAATGAAGCATTGCAAAAGCAGAAAAACAGAAAGGAGCTGGATGCAGATGTAGACACCATGAAAGGCGAAGATGACGGGTGTGGGGAAATGCAATGTAATGACATCTTTAGAGCTGACCATTTGACTTCCTACTGAAGGTAACTCCAGGCCTTAGAGGAATCTTATTAGAGCATAAAGTGACTTGAGCCGGGGTGGACTTGCTGCCTTCTACTTCCAGCAGGATCAGAAAGATGGTCTGAGATCACAGTTAGGTTTTACTATATGCCATTGCATCTGTGATCCACATGAAGAAACTCATTAAAGGCTTATTCACAGGCTGATCAAGTTGAGCCATTAATCAATTCCCATGAAAAGCTTTCACGTTACTGCTGGCCAGTTCAGAATGTGAGACATTTGCAATATCTATCTGTAAGTCCATGCCCAGGCCGTTGAAAAATGAGATGCAAGGGACAGACAACTTGCATGCATCCTGCAGAGTGAGTAAAAGGACAAGCAAAATCTTTCTGAACTACCCTAAAACCATTTTTGACAATGGGAGAATCCAAAAGCCAGTATAGCAATTTATTGTCGTGTACATTCTTAGAAGAGATCAAGGTCTATAAACCAAGTATCAGACATATGATCTCACACCCAGCCCACCTCCCAGTACATTCACCATAGAGTGGAAGAGAGTGCAGCTGCTCATACTTAAGAATATCAGCATGCGTGAGACAATTTGTTGGCCAAAAACAAGTGATGAAACAGGAATAACCTAGACAGCCATTAAATCAAAAAAAAAGTTTTAAATTAACAAAAGGAATAATTTATGCCCTGCATAGGGAAAGAGGAAGAAATATAATTTAACAAAAACGGGGACCTAGAAAAACTGGTTATCCAGAGAGGTTGCATCATTTTCAAAGCCTCCAAGGCTACAGACAAGAATGGATGAAGCTCTGAGAAACTTTGTTACTGACCCCATAGTTGACCCTACTTTGAACAGAAGGTTGGAATGGCGACCACATTAGGTCCTTTTTGACCCAAATTTTCTTGTACATCTTTATAAAACAGGCCTGCCCTATTACCCATTTTTAATCTGTGTATGATTAAAATTAAACATTGAACATTTATATGCAACACATCTACCATATTATTAGAACCAAATTCTAAGGTTCTTTGGTTCTTCTATAGAAGAAAATTCTACTCATATAAACAACTAAAAATATTAGGTACTATGTTATTCAAATATATATATTACTGTTACATTTTTAAGTCACCTAGCCTCCCAAAGTAAACATTTTATGAGGACTATCTTTTGACATCTTTTTTTAATCTATATAATGGCTACCTCCTATATTGCTACTCAGTCTAGGTTGAAATACCGCCTCTTATTTATACTCCAAGAGTAAAACTCCTTTCCATGACTAAAGGAAAAAACAGTCTCCACAGTGGAAATTCCCCACCACCTCCAGCATTTACTGTTTCTCCCAAGCTATACCCCCCAGCTTTCTCACTCCTCTGTAATTTGTCTGTCAAAATGCTGCTGAGCACAAATTTGGAACACAGGCTACAAGAAATTTTTTGCAGCAAGGGGAATTTGCCTTTTGACTTATGACAGAAGCTGTTTTTGGATACTAACATAGAAAAAGTGAAATAAGTTAGCGAAGCAGAACAGGAGACTTCTCTCTCATTAGCTTCCCTTTGCATGGAAATATTCCATCCCGGATCTCTTCTGAATAAATAAATTAATTAGTAAGATAATTACCCCCCAGCAACAAGTAATTAGAAAGTAGCAGGACAAACAGACAATGGTCAAAGCTTCAACTTTTGATCGGGGATTCAGAACTCTCCTTAAGACAAAAGAGGAGAAAGGACAAAGGACCTTCTGGCCCACTTGCCTGACTCCCATGCTGGACTGTGGCTTCCTTCAGTGCATTTCCTAACATTGTCCTTCATGCAGAACTGCTTTGTTTGACCCTCTTTAGAGAGATTGATATGAAAGACATACAACTGACTTGTGATCAAGGTCCAGACTCCAATCTCACTATCAAAAAAAAAAAAAAAAAAAAAACAGAAAAGGGTTGCTGGTTAAGATCCATGTCTCTAAATATAAGTGAGACGTGGGCAGATTAAATTCCTTTTGCGGAGTGGGATGCAGACAAGAAACCACAAGTTTAAAAATAAGTCTGAATTTGATAGGAAGATTAATTGACCAGCTCCTGGAAAGAAAGCTAAAAAAAGCTTTGGATTTTCCTTCTCTCTTTACTTTTATTTCAGATCTACTCTCAGGGCTTCTTTTCCCTGAAATTCCAAAAAAAAAAAAAAAAAAGTAAACATCCAGATGATACAAAACATTTTAAACTGCTAGATACTATGCATGCCATACAACTTAACTGTGCAATGAACAGACAGGGCAGAGGGCCTATCAACTCCATTACACTAACCTTTGCTGTTCCATGTTGACTGTCGGGGTATAACATGCTATGAAATATATGCAAGAAAAGTAACAGTCTATATGAAGGAAGAACACCGGTTAAGGCCTCAGTCAGGCTGTACTGATTTACAGTTCTGGAAAACTTGGCCAATGGTCTTCAGTTCTAAAGTTGCTGTAGGATCTGCCAAAAATCGCACCTACCTTACAAAATACAAAGAATATTTGATCCTGAAACCAGTCATAACCTGTCTGCTCCAATCACAGGTGAGTACAGTTGGGCTTTTAATGCATGGCCTGCAATGAATCAATTAACATCCATGCCATGTATAATTTGTAGAATAGGAATGGTGGCAGACATCCACCAGGTATGGATTGCTGTGAAGCAATCTCAGATCTGAACTGAGATCCACCAGAGCAGGCTGCTGCTGTAACTCAGAAATGCGTAAGTCCCTTTTAGATCAGTTAGTTGAGCAGCACTGTTTGTAGCTCTCAGGCACACCAGAAACTCAATACATAGTGTACAAAGCAAGTACTGAATAAAAGAAGCCATGGCTCATTTAATCGATGAATGCTCTAACAACTGATGTAACATAACCTTACACAAAACCGTTTCCTTTTGTCTTCTCGTACATGAAGACTTATAATTAATGTTATTACTTTCCCAGTTGGTGAGTTATGGTAGAGACAGAGATAGTTAGAGAAGACTGTTCCATGGATTAAGATGGCGTAGCATCACCAGTGAAGTTCGGAAGAAGATACAAATTATCATAACTGTCCATCTTTAGTCACAAGCACAACACTTAAACTATTTAAACTGGACAATGTTTTTAGACTGGAATCATCTTCATTTGACAGTACTGGTACTCTGTTTACCTGGAAGAGTCCCCATATCTTCTGAAAAGATACTACTCAACATTAATATTCATCTACATGTATATTAACATTTTCCGCAAAATGCTTGCTTTTATTGGAAAGTAAGATGACCAAATCTGAAAGACCTATTCACAGATGTTTAATTCCTTTCAAAGCAAGGAGATAATTACGTAACTAAAGGAAATAACAAATAGTCTGCCATATATCATTTTAATAGTTTTATTAAAAGGCTTTTATCCCCAATGCAATCAGGGAGATTGCATTTTCATCCAAAAAGGGAAAAAACTTGGGGACAACATAAGAACAGAGACTTACAAGTAAGGGAGCAGGCTTGCTGTTTGTTATCTGAGAAACTAAAAGTTTATAAAACAGTAGAAAAAAATCATGCCAGTTGCGATGATTGCCTTCAACTGTGTCTTGTGATGGTACTACATTTGTATGAAATTTTCGTCTTATTAAAACTAAGTCACAGAAGAAATGACAGACATCTACTTCTGGCTGCCATCATACTGCACCACCAGCACATTCAGTATTGCATATATGCGCCATATGCCAGATGGTAGTTCGGAGAAGACTTCACATCTCCATGGTCTGGAAATCAAAAACAACTATTGGACACTTGCTACCATGGAATTTGGAGAATCAAACACTCTTGGTCACATCAAAATCTTCTCTTATGTCTGCATTTAGATCAGACTGCCAAGAGGTTAAAGGGAAACAGCAATAGGCCTATTTTTTCTTTTTCTTATAATTCAGAACATACAGCAAAGGAACACTGGTGTAAGAGTGTGAATACCTATACTGTCATTCAAGCAAAATTTGCACCTCATTTGTTTATACACAACCATCATGAATGCAAACAAGCACTAAATCAGACTGGGCTGCTCACTGACAGCAAGTTACTGGAGCTTATGACTGAATTTAAAGAGAGAGAGTTGTTCCCTCCAAATACAAAACATAGTACAACACAGAAGGTACCTTCCTCAGGTATCTGAATCTTCTCTTCCTGTTTCATGCTTTTTAAACAGGAATTTCACAAAACTCATAGACTTATACAAAAAAATGGACAACAACAGTTGCCTACCCAGACCAACAATTTTAACAATTGGAAAAGGCCACTTAGAGTATGCAACATACATCCCACAAGTAAATGTGGTTTTAATAATAATCCTGGCAAAATGAAGATTTCTCCTTTACACCACAAAATGTGAAACACTTCAAATAAAGGCAACCCAGGCATGTTGACGCCAAAGCAAATAGGACTTCATTACTCTTTTGAAGAGACTGGACACAAGAACAGCATTCACTTTTACTCAACGCTCTTAACACACAAGAACAAAACTCACAGAAAAAGAAAGGAGTGAAGGAGAAATAAGATCTAAGTTCTAAAATTCTCTAGTACTGTAAAGCTTTCCCATAAGAGCAACAAATAATTTGTAACGGGACATGAGATAGCATCTAACATTCTCCTATGGTGAGAGCACGTGCAAGCCATCTTTTAGACATTTGGTCCACTCATCCTGCTTTGTCATTCTTTCTAGGCTCTCTTGGCCTCCCCACTGCCTCTGTCGGACAGATGCGGCTGAGCTCCACGCCGTGTGCATGCCAGATTCCTCCAGCCGCCCCAAACCACAATGAGGGAGGGACTGAAACTTCTCCAGAGCGTGCGCTAAGGCACTACTCCTCTGATGACCTTCCTTAATTAGTTGCTCCTGGAATTTTTTATTTTTTTTTTTAAACAAGCCAGTGGAATCAATGTTGTTCACGTATCTGGATTAAAGAACACTTCACTTCTGGGAAATAGAAGTTTTACGCTCTGGTTAGGCAAGAAAAAAAGGATGAGTTGGATATTGGAGAGAACTTGGGCAATTAATCACAGCCTCAGTTTACTACAGGTCACAGAATATTCAGTGATTTTAACAAACCTCCCCTCACTCTAGCCTTCCTAAGCAAAGGCTGTTTTTTTCCTATGTGATAAAAACATATTTTCCAATACACTGAGGTTCTTGTAAGAATTTAGGCATTTTCTATACCTTCAGAAGTTCTTTTAGTAAATCATACAGGCAGAAAATCAGTCAATACAATAAGACTGAACATGTTCCAACCCAGAGGCAAGAATAGCCATTCAAAAGCACAAGTCACTTCAGACATCATCGCAACCATCTGAAATGTTGGCACAGTTAGTGGAGGAAGAAGTCACCAGACACCAAGCTGCATGCTGTAAATCAGCAAGTGAGGTAGTTCAGAGAAGGGAACTGAACACAGGGTCTGTTACAGCATGAACCTCTTTAGTTGGAGTAGCAGGCATATAGACTTAGATGGCTACTGACCAATTCAGACATTTCTGATAGGCATATTGCCATACAAGCTGGGAACTGTGCCTTCAAAGAGTCTCTTAAAGACTTTTCTCACATGGGAAGGTGATAATCCTGGAGTCTTGTGTACACTGCTAGCATGAAAATAACTAGTAAGGGCTACAAAGAGATTTTGACTTCGCACTAAGCAGTTCTGGAGCAAGAAGGCAATATAAGAAAAGGTATAGCTCTGAAGCATTAGTGTGAAATGGACTCTGATGAACAAAAAGAAGCAAAGCCTTCAAAAATAAATTTGTTATTTACAATCACATTTTTATAATGTGGTCATTCACAGGTGAAGTCCAGGTCCTAAAGATAATGAATGGGAAGTATTCTTTCCACGGCCACACCATTCAGTTACAAGGAGTTCATCAATGATTATTCATGCATAAGGAATCCCAAATATACATTTATACATAACGTGGATAAGTCATGGCATGATGCATTCAACACAGCTGAGTCAACATATTCAACAGCTTAAACTATGCATTGGGAAAGTTCTTGTTCGTTAATGACTAACAGTAATCAGTCATAATAAGCAGAACTGGGAGGGGAGGAAGGATGACACTCCACTGCCTTGTCTATTTTTTTAGAACAAAGGTTTTCTGAGGTCACACAGTCTACACGACATTATTTTAGCCCCAGGTAAAGGATTTCTTGATTTATTTTTTTTAAATCATAGCTATAATAATCCACACCCAAGAATTCAGAAAGTCTTGCTCTCATACCTATCACTTAAAAAGAATATCCTACTAACTGCAAACAGAAAGACCTAAATCATCACAGCATCATGGTACTATTAAGTAATATTTTAATAAACCACCATGAACCTTTCCATGGAACAGCTCCACAGAAGCAAAATTGCACACAGACAAAGATACCTGGTGGACAACTTGGTAGATTTTATTCATCGTGTTAATTTCCCCAAATACATAAGTTGTAATAATTATTTACTGGAGAACGAAGGATATACTTTGAAGACTCTAATTTTTGGTAGAAATGTAGCTCTTCACATCCTAATCATAAATCAAGCAATACGTTTTGTTCAAATACAGGTTGATATGGAAAAAGACATTTTGAGACAATGCAGAAATATAAGTAGTAATAAGTAAGGTAAGTAACAAGCAATAATAGTAAGTTGAAAGTTTTACTTGTTAAGACCATGCAACATCTTGAGCTGTTCCACATGTGTACACTTAAGTTCTTTGAAGCCTTGTTCAATTCTACAAACTGAATTATACTTCAGCAGTTTGGTAAGATTTCTGTTTCAAGAGGACTGTTTTCAGTCCAAGCTGCATTGCAAAATATCCAGTCAAACCATTAAATGATGTGTCTGTGCTACCCAGAGAAGAATCACACTGTTTAACCAGTGGTATTAGTAACATACAATGTTAAATTTTCAGCTGATTGTCAGAAAAGCAATTAAGGCTGTGTTTGACTTATCATGCCTAAATAATATTAAATGACTACAAATGAACTTGTTTATACTACTAACCAAAGTGATTCAAACAGGACCGGGCACTAGCTGAAGAACCATTTGAATCACAGGTGCTTTGCTGAATCAGACTTTAATGCAGAATAGCAAAAATCCAAGTAATCACTGCAATGGTTTCTCAGCCCTAAGACATAGTTAGATGGATAATTATCCATCTAACTGCTGCTAAATCTTGTTCCTAAGCACCACATCCACACATCTCTTTAATACCTCCAGGCGTGGAGACGATACTGCTGCCCTGAGCAGTTCATTCCACTGCTTGACCACCCTCTCCTTGAAAAAATTCTTCTCGATATCCAATGTAAACCTCCCCTGGCACAACCTGAGGTTGTTTCCTTGCATCCTATCACTTGTCACCTAAGAGACTGACATCCACCTTGCTACAGCTTCCTTTAAGGTAGGTATAGAGACAGATGAGGTCTCCACTCAGCCTCCTCTTCTCCAGAAGAAATAGCCCCACTTCCCTCAGTCACTCCTCATAACTCTTGTTTTCTGCTCCCTTCACCACCTTCACTGCTCTTCTCTGCACACACTTAAGCAACTCATTATCTTTCTTGCAGCAATGGACCCAAAACCAAAGGCAATATTCAAGGTGCAGTCCCACCAGTGCACATAGCAAAGAAAAATCACTTCCCCAGTCCTGCTGGCCACACTACTTCTGATGCAGGCCAGGATGCCATTGGCCTTCCTGATCACCTGGGTACACTGCTGGCTCCTGTTCAGCTGCCTGCTGACCAGCACCCCAGCTGAGCAGCTTTCCAGCCACTATTGCCCAAGCCTGTACCACTGCATATAATGGGTTGTTATAACCCAAGTGACAGCTATTGCTCCTAGCAGGCTCATACCCTTGCCATCTGCTTACTTTGCCTATGCCCAAAACAGCATTCAGTGAAAATTTCTCTAATATGAAACCTACTGGGAGTTTGTGGTTATACCAGGCATTTCACTGCTCTAGCATTCATGCAGATATACCAGTTGAGGTAAGCAGAGAGCAAGAAGATCTAAGCAAAGCAAAGGGATTCCTGTTGCCATCTCATTCCATTTGATCCAGACACAACACTACCTAAAGAGATGAGCACTGTCAGATCAAGCTTCAGCCTCATTTCAGCAGTCTTTTCATAGCCAGTGGTGGCACAGAACACGAGCACACTTCAGCCTTCATGTTGCAAAGTCTGGCTGGCTCCTCCAAGCTGCAGAAATAGATCACTCTCTCCCACTGACCCCATTACAGAAACAGCAACCTCCAGCAGGCAATGGGAGCACTAGGGCAATAATTTCTCAAACCACCAAGCAAGATTTTCTGCAGCTCATCTGTCAACACACTTATTCCTGTGACATTTGGGGTGACAAATGTGGTGGCACAGAATTTACCACAGTATTTCCACTGCTAGTCCATCCACTTGGCTTCAGCTAAAACATTTAGATCCAAAGGACTTCACAACTAATATTTTCTTCTGTTTTATATGAGTAATCTCTTAACGTAATGTTAATGAAAGGATCTAGACTACCAGCACTGCAGGCTGAAGTCTTCTCTAATGACAGCATAGAAAGCAGCAGCACAGGTTTCCCAAGATATCTTATTGCCTTTACCATCTCTGAGCAGACAGGTTTTTGCCCCCGGGGTAAGAGGGGAGTGCAACAACTGTGGTCATCCCTGTCTTCTCAGCCTGACATGAAGAAGAGCAATTGCTGCCAGTCAAGAAGTGAGTTAGAGCTAGACACCAGTTTGTTGGCACTGCCCTGGGGGGCAATGGAATCCATAAAATGATCAGACAGCAGTAAGACAGAGTTTAATGAGTTGCTTTGAAAAACAACACATTACTGAAGGAAAAGGAAACACAGCTGCTACTTACGAACGACAAGCAGTCGAACCATTACCCATCCCTTTTTATTCCTGCCAGTTCCTCAGTCACTATTTCTGATCCAGTACAACAGCTGTAATATTGTATAGAAGCACATTAATGCTCTAGGGAGATGCCCTGTTTGGGAGAAGGCATATTTCTACATAGCTAACTTAAATAATCCTTTTAGGGTTGTTTTTTTTTTGTTGTTATCTCAGTACTGATGATTTACAGATTTCGCAGGAAGCCTTCTATCAGCCAAGGCATGACTGCACAGACAAAGAATCTCCATATTTCAGGGAAATGTGTAGGCCAATTGTTTGCTGGACAACATACAGATGTAATCTGGGAACGCTCAAAGATTCAACATCGGGTTACTTATTTGCAGTGTTTTTCTACAGATACTCTGCTTCCACCGGAACTATGGCCTTATATGTAGAAACTTCCTATGACGTACAGCACACTACCATACATGCCTTCCCTTTAACTCATCCAGGCTGCTGCCCACTCCGATGAAAGGAACGTCACTATGCATATTACATTAATTCATTCCAGTGCTTGAGACTGCACCAAAGTTAACACCTACAAAGGCTAACACTTCAGAGTGTACTGCAGAGCAAATATTGCCATGGAATTGGGCCAGGAGAAAGGATTTATTTATTTTTTTTTTTTAATAAAAAGAGTTGACGTCTTAACAATATTTTTAAAAAGCTGTCCCAGAGTATACATGTCTCTGGAGACTCGCTCTTGACTATGTTACAATGGAAATAATGAAGCAAGGAAGCTTGGGATACATCTATCATGACAATCAAATGATTCCAGAAGGGAACAAATGAGAAAAACCCTCAAAATTAAAGTCAGGAGATTACAGTCTGTAACAAAAGACAGGCAGCTTATAAAACTTTCACTCTTTCTTCATATTATTTCATAGTCTTCTGCTTTGGTAAATATTAAGAAGGACATTCTAATAATATCTTCCAAATGGGATGTTGTTTTAATGCAGTGTAGAAACAGTCAACTCATGCTAAATATTCATCTACTATGCGACTTATCTACTTCATAAAGCAAAGCAACCCCCACAACACTTTGCTACAGTGTATCATCTAAGCTATTCAACATAGCAGGGACAAATGGTCCTGGGAAGTTATGGACTTCAAACCTGTACAACCTCGGTGGAATTTTTCCTGTAGTAATTAAAAAATTGGAAATCTGAACCTGTGGAAAGAAGTTTACAGGTGAGAAGCAAGGTATGACAGATTCTAGTAGTCAACTAGAAAACAAAACATGAAAAAAAAAAAAAAGTATCCCTGGTTCATCACACTATAAACCTCTCAAATCAATGCCCAGGTACTTGAAAATTCTCTTCCTTTCTTGTTTGTTTGCTCTCCTGGCAGGATTCTTACCTATTTTCCTCAAGTCTCCTCATTTGCTGTTTTCCTTTCCAGACTGCCATGTCTAACTATCAGACAGGCTTTATTTAGGTCTTAGTGTAGGGTACTGGCAGTGCTCAAAGTAATAGGTCAAAGAGTCTTTCATGTCCTGTTAAATCAGTGTTCTGTAATCTGATTTTTTCCTTTCTCTTAGGACTTCTGGTTATTTTATCCCACATTAGCAAGCAAAACCAAATGCTTGGTAAAATTTTGTAATGTTTTGGGTATTCTGAGAAGGGTGAACTACTGCAGCCTCCCACATGCAAAGTGGGAATTGTGAATACAGTGCCCAGTGATTACTTGGGCAAAGGTACTGCAACTCCATTAAGCAGATTAAAGGACAGTATCTCTGATTACGAACAGATGAAAGAAAGAAAAAATCAGCTTTGACTTTTTTTTCCTGAAAGTGAGGGAAGAAATAACCAATACAACCAACCAATCCCTCTCAGTATTTGATCTTTGTCAGATGAAAGGAAGGAAAAATAAAGAAAATTCAAGTATCAAAACATACTAAATTACCCCAAATGTACCTAGTACTTATTAAGGAATAAATATATGGAAATATTGCTCCAATTCTCTGTCCTCAGTACCTCTGCTGCTGGTTGAATTTCATAAGTGGAAGAATCTTAGGGTGAAGGTTAGTTCAGTTTATCTTGTAACTTCACAGAGAGACAGAACAGCTGCTGCAGATTTAACTTAATACTGCCACCATCACTACAAAGTTTTGTCCTTTTTATGTATAATGACAGAATTAGGGTTATTTGTTTTAAAACACTATTGCAAGAGTAGGAGATCAAGGAGAACCAATTAATAAGGTATAAATTTTGTTTACTGAAGCTTCTGTAATTAAACCATGTAAAAATTGACTGTCAAAATTAAATCTTAAGACCTAAATGTCAAAATCAGGAAAAAAAAAAAAAAATCACACACTAACCACAAATGACCTCAAAAAGAAGAGATCATAAGTAAGCTGTGGAGTAGAAAAGAAGGTAAATCTGTAAAATTAATTCTTGATTGCAATTTATTTTTTTGCTTATCTTTAAGCTACTCTGAACATTATGATGCATCATTTGCATTATCTGTTGCATCTTCAAGATAAAGGTTAGTCTCACCCCTGTGGGTGGTGAGTGAAGCATTCCACCAGCACTGTGTCCACACTGAACTCTCACTACTACCTTCATATTTGAGTAGTAGAAAACTGAAACCAGGACTTCCTTTGTCTTTGCATCTAGGATATATCTCTGGCTCATTTACTACAGGCAGGTTTGGGAATTTTTAGGCAGGCCACAGGAAAGCCAGTAATAAGTCAATTTAAAAAAAAAAAATAAAAAATTAAAAGAAGTTAATTATTATGGAAAAACAACAAAAACAAACCTTTTCCATTTTTTAGCTATCAAGATATTTTTTAAATAACAGAAGGATAGTGAACAGATTATGACAAGTTTTACATTTATGTTTAAACAAAAAGGAGGATGGACACATTCTAGATTAAAACCTTTTCTAACATTTCATTTATAATTTTATTATAAATAAAATATTATAAATTAATGTATAATTTTATTTTTATTTATTGTATCTGAGCCACTGAATGGGTTGTTCTACTGTGAAGATCTACCCAATCCGGTACTTTAACCTAAAGATGTACTAATAAAATAAGATCAATTTGTACTAGAGAAAATTGTAACGAAGTTCCTGGCTTCCTACCTCTACA